GGGAGCTTGGAGCTCTTTTACAACCTGCCTGATTCCATGGTTCTATGGTTCTATGTTCAGCAGCACCTCCTGCGCTCTGCGTTGTAGAGCAGCGTGGGCCGGGGCTGCGGCTGCTCCGCTGCGCTGGTTTTTACTTTGACTTTTACTTTTCAGCCTGAAGCTGTGAAAAAAGAAGTGAAGAAGGAGGAGGCGAGCAGAGGAAGGTGAGCCTTGCAGGTGGTGGTTGTGCCGAATGGCCTGGATGGGATGGGATGGGATGACATGGGATGACATGGGATGACATGGGATGGGATGGGATGGGATGGGATGGGATGGGATGGGATGGGATGACATGAGATGACATGAGATGACATGAGATGACATGAGATGACATGAGATGACATGAGATGAGATGGGATGACATGGGATGAGATGGATGCCCTGCGAGAAGCGTGCTGGGGAGAGGTGCAGGGCCTCCCTGCCCTCAGGCAGATCCACACCACCTCCCAGCTTGCTGTCACCTGCAGACTTATGAGGCTGCCCTCCCTGCCCTCATAGGTCATCAATGAGGATATTACACAGGATGGGCCCCAGCATCCAGCCCACTGGAAATGGGTCGCAGCTGGCCTTGATCCCTGCACCGCGACCCGCTGGGCACGGCCCTCAGCCACTTCCTCACCCCCAGAAGCATCTGTGTGTTCAGAGCAGGGCAGCCAGCTTCCCCAGCAGAAGCCAGCGAGGGGCCGTGCCAAAGGCTGTGCTGGAGCCTGGGCAGACTGCATCAGCAGCCCTTCCTCACCTTCCAGCCTGCTCACCCGGTCGTAGACAGCCCTCAAACGGAACAGCATTTGTGCTGTCCTCAGAGCTGCCGAAGCAACGGCAGCAGGTTGTTGGCTGTAGCTGTGCCTGCAGCAGGGCCCCGAGCTGCTGGATGGGCTCCGAGCAGAACAGAGATGGGGCACAGGGTGTGAGAGCGGCCTGGGGCTCCGAGTCCTGGGGACATGGAAAGGGTTGGGTTTGGCTGCAGGGTTGGGTTTGGCTGCAGGGTTTGGTTTGGCTGCAGGGTTGGGTTTGACTGCAGGGTTTGGCTGCAGGGTTTGGCTGCAGGGTTTGGTTTGGCTGCAGGGTTGGGTTTGGCAGCAGGGTTTGGCTGCAGGGTTGGGTTTGGCTGCAGGGTTTGGTTTGGCTGCAGGGTTGGGTTTGGCAGCAGGATTTGGCTGCAGGGTTTGGTTTGGCTGCAGGGTTGGGTTTGGCTGCAGGGTTGGGTTTGGCTGCAGGGTTTGGTTTGGCTGTAGGGTTTGGCTGCAGGGTTTGGTTTGGCTGCAGGGTTGGGTTTGGCTGCAGGGTTGGGTTTGGCAGCAGGGTTTGGTTTGGCTGTAGGGTTTGGCTGCAGGGCTCACATAGAACTGACCAGCCATCTTCCTCCGTGTTTCATTTGCTTTAACACCGCTCAGTGCGACTTCCAAACGCGGCAGGAAGCAGCGCACCAGGACTTACTGCTAACTGGGGGATTCTCCACGTAGTTTGATCACTTCTGTGTTGTTTTTTCCTGTTTGTTCGTTTGAATGCATTTAGCTCTGGCTTGAAGAAATACAAGGAGGGATCGGGAGCGGTGCAGACAGCAGCTGCTCATCCCGCAGTGGAGCCCAGCGCCGTGAAGAAAGAACCCGTCTCCATCCCTGCTGTGGAGGACGAGCTGCCAGCGGTGAAGACGGAGCCTTCGGAGCCGCATCCCGAAGGAGCGCAGAGGGATCCTGGTGCAGGGCTGGCGGAACAAAGCAGCGGGGAGGCAGGGGCTGAACTCACTGGTGCGCCCATGGGAGCAGCTGGGGCCCAGTTACCCGCAGCGAAGGCAGAAGAGAAGCTGCTGCCTCCTCCCAGCACGGGGAAGGAGGAGGTGATTGCAGACGGCGCTGCCTCGAAGCTCCCTGTGCACACAGTCGGATCCACGGCGCAGAAGGGAGAGGAGCTGGGAGCTGCAGGGCCGGGTGCCGCCGGGGAGCAGCCAGGAGCAGAACCAGGCAGGGCTGCTGCACCGCTGGCAGCAGGGAGGACGTCGGGGGCCGTCCCCAAAGCAGTGCCTGCTGCTGGGCCTGCCCAGATGGGCCCTTGTGGCATCGCACCCAGAAACCCTGGCAAAAAGACAAGCGTTGATGAGCAAACGGACCGTGAAAAGCAGGGGGCTCCGACAGCAGGGGTGAATCCTGAGCCTGAGGATGGGGCGGCAACGGGGGGGATGCTGGCTGGAGATGGGGCCGGAATGGACGTGGAGGTGAGAGCAGAAGGGGCTGCTGGGGAGCAGGGCTCCAGGCTGAAGTGTGCAGCAGAGGTGGAGAAGAAACGCCAGCGGTGCGAGGCTGAGGTTGGGGCTGCCGTGGAAAACGCCGGTAGGAACGGGAAGGAAAAGAAGGGAAGTTGCAGCAAAGCGCCTCAAAGCAAGGAGACGAGGGCAGCAAAAACAAAAGAAGCTGCCAAAGCTGCCGCGTCCAACTCCTCCTCGTCCATCCAGGAGCCTTCCTCCGCTCCTAAAGCCGTCCTGAAGGCGTCTGTTCCTGATGCGTTGGCGCCGGGGGCTGCGGTGCACAGAAGCAAACCTGCCCTGTGCAAAGGAGAGGAGCAGGCAGCTTCCTCCAAAGCCAGGCCCCAGGGAGCAGCAGCGGGGCAGAAGAAGGCAGCGTGGAAGGAGGAAGGTCAGCCCAGAGCCGGCCCGATTCAGCCGAGCAGCTCTGCGAAGGGCGGCAATGGGAGGAATGCGTCCCAGCAGGAGAAGGACTCCCATGTGGAGCCCAGGGCCGGCTCCAAGCAATCCCAGCAGGGGGAGAGCAGATCGTCCGGCACGAGGAGAGACGGCAGCACTAAGGTGAGCAGGGCACGAGGGCTGCTGGCTGACTGTGTGCTTCTGGCTTGTGTGCAGCATGGGCCGGTGGGGCTGCGTTCCCCTTCCCCATCCTCGCTGTGCTTTGGGCCAGCGGCCACCTTGGAGTCGCATGGGAGCCAAAACGAGGGCGAAACGTGGCCCAGGTTTGAAACGGGACAGGCTGGATGGAGCAGCCCTTGAAAGCAGCCCTGCAGAGAGGTCCTGATAGATGAAAAACTTCATATGAGGCAGCAGTGCAGCTCCT